CGCGCTCAAGACTCCCAGCCTGTGGACCGCCGCCCTCGCCGCACCTGGAAAGCTGCTCTCTCAATACCAGGGATGTAGATCCAGCCGCCGCGAGTTCGCAACGTTTGCGCTCAAACAATCTTCTCCTCAGCCTCTTCGTCTCAAAGTTTACCACTTTCTCGATCACTTCGCCACCACGCTCATTCCACACGCTGCCCGCCTTGTTGATCTCTATTTCCACCTCGACGATTCATTTACCCTCTCCACTCTATGCAAGTTCCTCAACTCGGGCACGCCCAATCTCGAAGTGCTCGGCATCACATTCCCGGGGTTCGTGGGGATGTACGAAGATTGGCTGCCGCTCCGCGAGGACGAAGACAACGAGGACTTCGGCCGCACTACCACCGCTCGAGACGAAATCCAAGAGGCGCTCGGGGGGATCTACAGTTATGGAGTGAACGCACACAAGCCCCAGTTCTCGACGCTGCAGTCCTCCCTCGCCTCCACACCATCCGGTGCATCCCCATCGATCTTTTCCCGCACTTCACCACTCCTACACTTCGCGATGTGTGCGTCACCCCCGCGCAGTTCACTAGTGACCACCTGGCCGACTTTGCCAAAGCGCTGGCTCAATGTCCCGCGCTTGAGAGCCTCAAGTTCTGGATAGTTGGTGGGGACTTCGAGACGGACCTGTATGACGATGACGACGATGTTGATGAATTCCATAGAGATCCGGTCGAGAGCTATCTTCCTGATTCCTATTCGTCTATATGGGACGGCGTCGATCCGGTAACCATGCCCGCTCTGCAACACGTCGTTCTCAACACTGGTCTTTATTATGTGTCGCATCTCTACCTCCGCTGCCTCTCCTGCCACCATCCCATCACCATTGAAGTCATCGCGAAACAAACGACCCTACCAGATTTGGTCGGCGGTCACGAGGAGCTTGAGGAACGCATCCAGAACGCGGACATGGCACACATCCGCGACTCCGGCTCCAGCAACAGATGGAGGACCACAGAGCTCACTACCTTTAAGGACGACGTCGCGCTCGCTCGATTCGCGCTTTCAACATCGGAGTGGGTGGGGCCGCCCACTGCACCGGACTGCGCCTCCGTATTCCGCAAGCACGGCGCAAACATCACACGGCTTGTCATCCATCAGAACGAAAACGAAAACTCTTCTGAATTTCTCGCAGTGCTCCACGCTCTCCCCAACCTCACATCGCTTGATCTCGCTGGCGGATGCGTGTCCGATGTCCTGCGGGCGCTACTTCGACGGGGTCTCCAGGACCCGGACAGCGACGGGCCGAACTGCCAGCATCTGCGCATCCTCGCCGTCGCATTCCCTCGAGAGTGCGGCTCGGTTCAGCAGTTGATCGAAGCAAACCCAGCGGAGTGGGAGGAGACGATCACGACCAGCGTCCGAGACGACTTGGCAGAACTCGTGAAGATGCTGGGGGGCCGAGCATCGAGTGGTCTTCGCCTGCAACGGCTCGAGTGGCGAGTGGCGGAGTGGGACGATTATTTCCAGCTCGAGTTCCTTCCGACTGCGGTTGTGAGCACGTATGTGCCACCTCCGACGGCGCTGTACGACCAGACGAAGCTGGAGACGTTGGTCGACGGGCCGGTCGTATTCGGCGGGGTCACCTACCAGGTCAGCCTCGCATGAGCCCCGAACCTATGACGGCTCATCACGACCAGATGGTGTGTGGCCGTGGCGAAGGGGCGGAAGGAGTCATGACGAGGCTTTCGGGGTCCAGGTCGACGTCGAGCGGGTCGTCGTGAGACACACAGAGGACTTCGCGCTCGTCGGCACGGAGGGTTTATTTGACGTCGTGCAAGTCAATATTGACGTGGGCGATGGCGTGTAGGGAGGGGGTGGAGGAGGGACAGCAGTAGGATTTTTAGAATTCCGATGAAGGCCCATCATGGGCTGAATAAGTAGAGTGCTAATGGCAAATTAGAAGCCGGCAATTGCCTATCAGCCGGGCGGCTCGATTGGGCGTCTATCCGATCTCCGGCGCATGCAGTAAGAGGATAAGCGTCAAAAATGCTGCCAGCGTTCAGACTCGAACACCGTGCTCCGTGCGGACCACGCTGCAGACCACTAGGCCACTGGTGCTTGTAGTTTAGCTTCAAATATAATGTTATGACATGCAATTTTCGGCCCCGCATGAATGGGGTGCCAAGTTCAGCCTCCTGTACCGCCTTTTCGAAAACGTCCCAATTTCGAATCACTAGCAGCGCGCCTTGTCCCCCGTACTTTTCTAATACCCACCTTCGCGCTCTTCCTACATTGGCCACGCCCCACGCGCGCCCTCCATGCGCGCGCCCTCCACCCGCGTCCCTAGCCCGCTTCGCCTTTCCGGCCCTCGGATGGCGTGTCTATGCTTGCTTCGCGAAGGCACAGGAGCGCGCCTCCTGCTCTGTGTTCTTCAGTCGCCCACCTTCCGGGGCGCGGCGTAGGGGCGCGACATACATTCGCGCGCAGGTGTTGGGGAGACACTCCACACGCAGCTCGATGTGCCGCCGCCGCCGCTGCCGCCGCGCAACAGTCGCCCGCGCCATCAGTGGCAGCCACTTCACCCGCAGGGGCCGGCCCTGTGGCAAAGATAGAGGCGGTGTTGGAAGGGATCACCCGTCTGCAGCCTCAAGCTTGCTGCACGCGATTATCAAGAGCAGGACCCCAGCCACTACCCGGGCCCGCGCTGTTCCCTCGGGGCAGATATTCGGAGAGGACCCGCGTCGTTCCCCAAAGTGTGGTCACTTGCGCGATTATCTGAACACCACCACCACTGGGGGATGAGCCGCACGTTTCAACTAGTTGTCAGGTAGTAGACGGGACTACCGTATGTAGCACACTTTTACTTATCCCGACCTTTCGAGGTCATTAGTCGTATGAACAAAAACTTAACGCCACTCGGTATCGAACGCACGATGCGTTCAAGCCGTCCGACACGATTACCACTGATCCAAAGTGCCTTTCCTTGCACTCAGCCTTGAAATAATATGAAAAAGTTAAATGCCCCGGTGGCGCGGCGGACCTGCCGCGTCGGTCGGGATCTCGGAGGCCCCATCTGTTAAGTCCGTCCGATTTTTGGCGCCAGGCGTTGCCGGACGTCCTCAAGCACCGCCACCGCCACACAAATTGTATGATGTCAGACGATCGACTACCTGCCGTACGATGAATAAACTGTATCACTTACATCTCCGGCCTCACCCAGTCTCGTGCGCATATCCTATTCCATTCACCCTCAACGTCGGGTCCCAATTTCTCCTTGAGGTAGCTACGGAGCTTGAATGTGCTCGGTGAGTATGTGTCCGCCAGGGTTTGCCAAAGACTCACTCCATGGCGATGTCAGGTCTCACATGTCCGGTGGGAACATTCGGCTTGTGAGCCTGGAAGCGAGTCCTATATCAGATCGTGCTGGAGTTGTATCCGACAATGCTCGCTCACAGGGTGATAGTACCAGAAGCGTTCTCCGATATTAGTCGGCAGTCGGCATTCTCCCGGCTTGAATTTGAACGCCTTTCCGTGTTTCGTGTTGCTCATCAGAGCGCCTAAGCCGAACTGCAGGGCCTGAAAACGGGTGAGTTCATGCCCGTCGTTCACTATTGAGACATACCTTCTTCAGATCTTCATCTCGGATATTTGTTTTTGAGTTGAACAATACCCGTTCGAGAGTCTGTGAAAACATTCTCGCCGTAAGTTCCTCTTGTGAGCGATGAATTCAACGTACCTTGCGATGCCGTTTGGACATTGGGGGCATCGTGGACAGCAGTTCTGTGCGCGGGAAGGTTAGGGACCCGAGGACGCACAAGAGCCGTTCGAAATGGATGAGACGCGCACGCGTGCCGGGAGTTACAACCGGGAGTACAACCGGGGGTAGTGTAGCGATAGTCGCGGGGGCGTGGAGGGTGAATGGGAGGGGGATGGTCTGTTGAGGACCCAGCGCGAAGAGGAACAAGGGAAGGCTCACCTGAGCTGCCACGCGGGTGGGACGCGCGGGTGGCGGGACGTCACCACAGGAGCACGTTCGCGGAATACGGCCGGGAGCGCGACGTGCAGCAGTAGCGGCGACTGCGAAGGGGGCGGGGAATCGTCTGTTAAGGACCCAGCGCGAAGAGGAACAATGAGATGCTCACCTGGGGTGGGACGGGCGTGAGACGTGCGCGGGCGGCGGTTTGTCGAAGTCGACGCAGGCGGAGGACGGTAATCCGCGCACGTGTGGCGGTCGCGGCGGCCGTGGGGTGTCAAGGGGGCGGATGGATGATGTGTTAAGGATGCAGCGCGAAGAGGACTGACGAGACACTCACCTGGGCGGCCACGCGGGTGAGACGCACTCGCGACAGGACATCACGATTGAGCGCACGGATGCGGTAGTGTTCGGGGGTATTCGAGCAGGATTTCTTTGAAGAAGGAGGAAGCGGTGAGGGATGAAGCGGCGACGTGAGGAGAAGTGGCGAAGACAGACGATGGGGAAAGGGGACGCAAGCGGTGAGACGCTCGTAGAGTGACGCACGACGCCGCGAGACACTCACCAAGGAACTCGGAAACAGAACACGAAGGAATTGGCTTAGAAAGGTGGGTTGTCTAGATGCGTTCGCGCGAGTGAGCAGTGCGGATGGACGACGGTTGGTGGAGGGTGTTGATGTGGCAAGCGCGAGAGCGTGGAGCTGGGCGCTGAACGTTCGACGAATTCCAGTTCATATTCTCGCGTTTATGATAGCGTGCGTTACATGCGTGCTCGCAGGTAACTCTTGTCTCACGGTGCGTCGCGTCTCTGTTCGTTCTGTCCTTTACCTCACCGCGATTACATTTCGCCTCGTCCACGAGGGTCGCTTGAGTAGTACTTCGTTTTCCCAGCTTTTTCATTCCTGATGATAGACTTTGCTCACGACATCTAGCAAGGACGACGCTACTCACTACATGGACAGGCCTCGGTGTCTTCGGCAATGTTCGTACGGCACCGCTTTACTCCTGATTTTGTGATCCGTCGTTCAGTTCCGGCCCGAGGATTCGGTGTTTATTCCGGCAACTCACGCCCCTCGGATGCGGGGGCTCGTCGCGTGCTACACCCACCCGCGCCCTCTCCCGATGTGGTAAATGGGACCGCTCGGGACCACCGTTCGCCTGAGCCGCTTCCATGTCCTTCAGTACCGTGGGCTATTGGCGGGGACGGCTGGTATGAAGTTGTCCGCGACGCCGAATGGACGCGCCCCCCGTGTAGTACTTTCGTATTTATTACATTACTTACCCACAACGCTGTTGACTCGGCCATCTGCCGCTCGTTCTTATTGCACGCCCATATAATAGGCCCGGGTCGCGCGGGCTCATGATCACGTTCTTCGTGCGCGATGTCTCCGTAAGTGCGTCCGCACCTTGATCTTTCGTCCACTTCCCGCACAAACACGGGCGCCCAGAACGGGCGCCCAAGTCGGTCGTCTGCCATCGTCGTCCTCAGTGTAATCACAACATCTCATTGCTGATACTGTATCTACAACACTGCCGAAACAATGTCGTCAGGTGGTCGTTTCAATACGGGCAATGAGATTACTTACTCTGGATGGATCGCTAGCGCCCGGACGTCCCGACCGCTTCCTATTGCGGCCACGACGTCGTCTTCGCTTTCTGACATACGCCCAGTCAGTGTTCGCTCTGCGATGACGTTAAAAATGATTTCTCACGATTAGTCGTCTAGGGTCAGATCAACATCCACTCGCCCGTGTCCGACTTCCTCACCCAACATCCGCTGCGTCCCCATCCGCCACGACAACTTCCCCGGCGGCATGGCTTCCTTGTCCGAAATCTCAATGATATCTTCCGCGAGCCGCTTAGACGAAGTAGAGTTGACGTTCTTCGACGTACCAGGAGGCGGAAGGTTGTCGTCGGATATCTCAATCGGGTCCCCTGGTATCTGCACGTGCCGCTTTCGAGAGTTGGTGCGCCCTGCGCGCGCGTTGACTGGCTCACCGCCGCGTGTTCGTTTCGTGTGCATAGCTTCACGTCCTATGTTGTGAGAGGGACCTCCATGTCCCAACCCATCCGCGCTGCGCACCTCGAGAAGGCCCGGGCCCTGCGACCAGCTCAGCGACGCGTCGGCCACTCACAGGTCACTGGGGGCTTACCGAGTTCCGTCCAGCACCATCTCGGGCTCGCTCTGCGCCCTCCAGAGCGAGGCCTATGCCCGGCATCGCCACACGCTCCTGGCCCACCGGAGCGTATGCCATGATTACGATGGGGAAGCCACCCCTTACACGGTCGAGCGCCGCGTCCGCGTCGAAGATGGCGTCCCAGCAGGATTCTTCCAGATTCCATATGCGGGTGCGGCCGTGGGCAACACAGAGGCGACGCGCACTGGCGCGAATGTCCGATTCCGTCGTGATCGCAATCTCCGGGGCACCGCCCTTCTATTGTCGAGGATCAGAACCCCATCTGGCGAACAGGTTGGACACTCACATGGTCCCATACGAACACAAGCCGCTCTCCGGCTGCGAGAGGGAAGCTCAGAGCGTCCGCAATTCCCTCGACGAGCTTGGGGTCCGTGCCATTCGTGTCCTCCCACTCGCGCATGTGATATCCGAGGCCCTTGCAGTGTTCAAGTCCTACACGCAGGAAGATGAATCCGTTCGACGCATCTTGTGACCCAATCACCGTCCGACCCAGGCGCTCCCAGTCGTTGGAGGAGAAGCTCCAGATGCGCATGTTCATGATCTTGTCGATGTCCGCATGGGGGGTTACCAGCTTCTCTTCTGAGAGATCGTGCTCGCCTCGGATTAACTTGATCGCGTTGTCGTCTACCCTTCCTCGCCCTCCCTGCTAATCAGTCATCCTCTGATTACGTGCAGTTGCCCGGTGTGCTCACCAGGT